GCCACGAATGAAAACGGTTTTTATCTTTGGCCGAGATGGGAACTGTCCGATAGGAAATTGCGTTATCTCGTCTTTGTATTGCACCGATTGTTCGCGTTGTTCGAGCCATCATTTTCGCCAACGATTTTCGAGCCGAATCTCGCCGGCTTGGCAAAAGTAGCGACAGTTATCTACCGATAACGGATACCGAAAAAAAAAAAAAAAGCAAAACACAAACACGCATGGAAAAAATGAATAAACAAATGAAAAACACAGGTACCGCGAGTACCATCGACATTCCGACGAATTTCCCCAGTTTTCCTAACGATTTCACATTCCATCGCATCCTTTTTAATTCGTCACTTTAATTCGCGTTAACGTCGTTTCGCGTGACAACGCTACGATACAATATTTCGTTTAGTCTGGAATTGAAAATTAGTGCCGCGCGAACGCGTCCCAAAACGGCGGGGCGATTGCCACACGAATATTTAATGCAACGTTAATTATTCGAATTCGGTTGGTAAATTGGCACCATATCGATTTCGCTTGCACGCAAAGGCACAATCCAACGAGCGTAGTATATATACAGCTAATTATCGGCATTTCCGAGACAACGAGCGTAAAAATCACGGGGAGGAAAGAACGGGGTGAACGCGACCGTCTCTGCGAACGAAGAACGCCGATGATTTTCAGGCGAAGCTTCGCGAATAGAAAGGGCGAACAATTTTTCCGTTTTCCGATTTGTCCTTTCACCCGGAAACAGTTTATTGGCCGAGCGAAGCGTTGGAACGGAAAGAAACGAGCTGAATTACGAAAGCGATAAAAAGCTAACGGTGGTCGGATAGCCGACTAAGTAATCGAGGGTATAAAGTATGGTAATGCGGCGAATTCCTGTAACGAAAACTCGGCTTCTTTTCCATCGCAATTAACGGGCGAAACGGTGATGTACGACGTCGGTGAGGCAAGCACGGCGAACCGTGAACGAAATCCCGTAGGTATCGAACGAGACGACGGTGCACCTTTGGCACGGTTCGAACGCCGTCGAGATACGAAGGAGCCAGGGTATTCGTTTCCAAAGACGTATCGTCGAACGAAAATCGCGAAGGCAACACGACGAAGACGGCAAGCTATTACGTGCCAAAAAAAAAAAACGAACAGATACGCGAAGTTGGTGCGTCTCTGTGCCACGGTCAGTCGTAACCGGCGAGAGAAAAAGGAAATCTTTCAGTCGGTGCGCTTCGAGCCACTGCGGACATTTCGTTTCCGGTTAGAGCACGGGTCCAAGTAGTCTCGAAGAATCGAAGTTGAAAAGCGCTGAAATCGCACTTTCTCGAGTACCTTTCCACGAACGCGACTCGGCTAGACCACGAAAGAGAGGAAGCGAGAAAGAGAGAGAAACGAACGAGACGAAGCGGAGAAAGAAGAAAGGCAGAAAAGAGGAAGTTATTAGAGCTTATTACCGTACGTGTTGCCGATAAGAGCGAACGGTCGCGAATAGAGTCGCGAAGCCGCGAAACGGTAATCGGCGCGGGATCAATTAGAGGAACGTAATTAACTCGCGCTTTCCGTTTTTTCTTTCGGAACTCGATGCCTTTTCCTCGGTGCTTCGGCGAGCTTTCGAAGAATCGTCAACCGCTAACGGTAGACGAGACGGTCAATTACGGATGCTCTTGGGAAATAACGATCCGCCGATAAGCGCGCGTCCTGAATTCCAATTGAAAACGAGACGACTCGAGAACGATAGCATGGAGTATTTATCAAAGAAGAATACTCTTCTTTCTATCGAGCAGAGGGCAAAGAGGCGGAAAAGAAACCGCGATAGATCGAGTTAGCGAGAGAGCGCGGAGAAAGCGAGCAGGAAAAATGATGAGCCAGAAATAATTAGCGGGGTTGCAGAGCGTGGCAGACCGAACGCAGATGTGCCAAGTCCGTATGAAAAATTAATGACATCCCGTTCTCGGCAATCCCCTTTTCCGCCCTCAACCCATTTTACTTCCCTACCGCGTCGAGTTTATTCCCTCTTCGGTTCTTTTTTTTTCTTCTTTTTTACTTAAGCCCGGTTTCCCTTTATTGCCAACCCTCTTTCGACGATCTCGCGTGTCTCGACGAAATTTAGCCGCGCCACGATCCCCGATAGGCTCTATAATTATCCCGTTTTATCTTCATCAGCTAGGGTGGCTCTAGGGGAACGACTCGCGACCGAGAAGGCGATATAACCTTCGTCCGAACGCTTACTCCGACTGCGTTTTTCATTCTCGAGGACCGCTGCTACGCGACTCGGATACTCCTCGTTTGCTCCCTCGGCAAGGTGCGCTTCGAGCCACTGCGGACATTTCGTTTCCGGTTAGAGCACGGGTCCAAGTAGTCTCGAAGAATCGAAGTTGAAAAGCGCTGAAATCGCACTTTCTCGAGTACCTTTCCACGAACGCGACTCGGCTAGACCACGAAAGAGAGGAAGCGAGAAAGAGAGAGAAACGAACGAGACGAAGCGGAGAAAGAAGAAAGGCAGAAAAGAGGAAGTTATTAGAGCTTATTACCGTACGTGTTGCCGATAAGAGCGAACGGTCGCGAATAGAGTCGCGAAGCCGCGAAACGGTAATCGGCGCGGGATCAATTAGAGGAACGTAATTAACTCGCGCTTTCCGTTTTTTCTTTCGGAACTCGATGCCTTTTCCTCGGTGCTTCGGCGAGCTTTCGAAGAATCGTCAACCGCTAACGGTAGACGAGACGGTCAATTACGGATGCTCTTGGGAAATAACGATCCGCCGATAAGCGCGCGTCCTGAATTCCAATTGAAAACGAGACGACTCGAGAACGATAGCATGGAGTATTTATCAAAGAAGAATACTCTTCTTTCTATCGAGCAGAGGGCAAAGAGGCGGAAAAGAAACCGCGATAGATCGAGTTAGCGAGAGAGCGCGGAGAAAGCGAGCAGGAAAAATGATGAGCCAGAAATAATTAGCGGGGTTGCAGAGCGTGGCAGACCGAACGCAGATGTGCCAAGTCCGTATGAAAAATTAATGACATCCCGTTCTCGGCAATCCCCTTTTCCGCCCTCAACCCATTTTACTTCCCTACCGCGTCGAGTTTATTCCCTCTTCGGTTCTTTTTTTTTCTTCTTTTTTACTTAAGCCCGGTTTCCCTTTATTGCCAACCCTCTTTCGACGATCTCGCGTGTCTCGACGAAATTTAGCCGCGCCACGATCCCCGATAGGCTCTATAATTATCCCGTTTTATCTTCATCAGCTAGGGTGGCTCTAGGGGAACGACTCGCGACCGAGAAGGCGATATAACCTTCGTCCGAACGCTTACTCCGACTGCGTTTTTCATTCTCGAGGACCGCTGCTACGCGACTCGGATACTCCTCGTTTGCTCCCTCGGCAACCCCTCTCCACGTGTACGCGGCCACGCGTCCACCTTCTACGAACGCGACGCGCCTTATCTCCTCTCGTCGCCGACCATCGAATCTGTCTTTTTTAATTCGTCTTCGTTAAACGCGTCAATCATTTTTTTCCGTTTCGCCTCGTCTCGTTTCGCCCGCGTCTGGTTCGGTCTCGTCTCGCCGCGTTCCGACCCATCCCGTCCCATTTCGTCCCGTTCCGTTGACTTTCAACGTCGTTTTTCATGTTTTTGCCCTGCATAACGATCGATACGTTACATACGCGACAACGGTTCCGAACGACGACCTACTGCTTCGTAACGACGAAACGAACGATCGACACCGATGAAAGCGGAACCGACAATCCGTTTAAAACGATCGTTCGTCGCGCTGTCGACTCTTTTTTCGTTCCGGATGCTCGGAGAAAAGAAACATTTTGCGCGAACGCGTTATCGCGAATCGACTACTCGTTTCAAGTAGGACGATGGAAAATCAAAATTACAGGTTTCCGGTCTTTGCGCACCGGATGCTTCGCGTAGAACGCTGATTTATGCGCGATTGCCGAACGTAACCGCAAATGGAGTGACGGAGAAATATTTACAGTTAATATTATCCTATTATAAAAGCGATGACCATCCTGTTGTGCTCGACAGGCTGCGTTATAAAGCACGCTATTGATCAACGACGAGAACCAACAACGCGTCTCTGTTCGTGTAATACCGATAATTTATGAACGCGAACGCGAGCGCACGATCGAGTCTCTCCTCTCCTCCGCAATTAACTCGTCGATTTCTATTCCCCGCGGACGTCTTTGTAGCGAACCTACGAGGTCTTCCGATACTCTGCTTCGATGCATGTTTTATTTATTTATGCTAATCTTTACCCTCAGGCAGATCATCTTATCTTCGAGTTTACTACATGAAAATTTCATATACAACCTCCATCTGTGTACATACGTGCACTTTACGGGGATACCACGATTCTTTCGTGTTCCGCGTTCCTTTCTACCTTTATTCGATCCGAACCGAACGCGAGAAAAAAGAACCGGCCCTTTCTTCGTATTCCAACAACTGGTTCCCCGTTGCATTCGCAACTTTGTTTAACGCTTGACCGCTGATCTCGCGTTCGTTCGTTTACCTAACTTTTCACTTTTCCGCCACGAGATTTTTCTTTTTACTTAACTGCTCCTTGCTTTTCTCCTATTCGCTCCTCCGTCTCTTTCTTACCTTTGTCAGGCTCGTGCACCGGAACGTCATAAATTCTAGCCATCCTACTCTACCGCTCTCTTTTGCCACCCTCTTCTCCTATCTCCCTTTCTTTTTCCCTTTACCGCGTACCACTTTTCGAGTCGTACCCACTCCATCCGCCTCGTTCGCGTACGTTTCTCTCGAAAAAACTGCGATAACGCGGAAGAAACGGCGGAACGTAATTAGAAAGAGTGCCATTTTTAAACCGTTCTACTGCCGCCCCCGTCTCGCGTATTTCGAGAGTCAGCATTGCCGCCGCGGTTCTTTTTAGATCCCCGCATTTTTATCCTTTTTATCCTCCGCGAAAAAAGATCGCGTAAACCACAATTTATTTCGAGATCCACTATTTCTATCCGCGCACTGTAACTATCGTAAACTCTTCGATTTTCACTCACCCTCTTGTCCGAGAAGCACGGTGATCAGAACTAGAGCGAGATCCATCGTCGGGTTGGCTTCCTCGGCGATCGAGCCTCGAAACCGTCGACAACGTCTGCCTTGATTCGTCCAGCGTCGTTCAATTTGCTTCCGCCTATCGCTTTCCGCCGCTCCCGTTTCGGTCTCCTCTACTTATCAGGCACCAGAACGGTCAGGAACAACCTGACGCGACACACACGCGTGTACACACATTGACCACGCAGACGAAATTAACCGCGTTCGTCGACGACAGCTCGGTGCGAAAGCGGGCGAAAGAGAAGGAGTTAGTTTCCTGTGTCTCTACTTTCTTCTCGCCATCAAACGCGGACTACTACTTTCGGATCTAGCCGTGAAACCGAGTTCTATTCTAGGCAGCTTGCGGCCACCGTGTCTTTTCACGACACTAATCCTTCTTTCGACGTTTCTCGACGAGCACCGAGATATTTTCGACCCTTGTCCCGAATTCCTTTCTAACGAACCGCGTCGACGAGCGGAGAGGATACCGGCGGGTTTTCCTGTCTCGTAATTCGACAAACGGCACCGTAGGTAAATGCCAAGGAAGACGGACGAGTCGCGACACGACCCCGTCACGGTATCGCGTCCTGTACCCTCGTCAACCGGGATTCCCTTCTTCGTTTAAAACTCGTTTCGACCATCAAAAAATATTTCTCGTCAAGATTTCGAAGAATTTTCCAGCAGCGCCGCGTCATCCGATCTCCGCCGCGATACCGTTGGCTGCGATAGTTTGGCACCGAGACAGACCCGTTAAGAGGGTGGGTAATTTTCAACGGAATCTCGAACCACGATCGCAACGTCGACGAAAAATAAGAGCCCAGGATACTTCCGACGAGTCGAGGAAATCTCGTTGTCGAAGAAAAGGACGCAACGATATCACCCGTCCGACTCGAATTTGCCGACTTGCCGTCTTTACCGCAGCCTCGATCAATTACCCCGTTTACGTCCGACGATTAACGAATATCAGAGGCGATGAATTTTTCAGAAGCGAACGTTCGAAATAACTCGTTCAAATATCGGAAATCAATTCGATAAGAGCGACGATTTCACTTCGATTTTCGTAATAAGAACGTAAAACCAGAGATAGACACGGCGAGACAGCGCGAGAGAGTAGGGAGAAAAGGGAAGAAAAGGAGGAGCAGATAAAGGAAAAGCGCGAGGGTGGACGAGAGACGGGCACGAGAAGGAAAGGCGCGAGCGAAGAAAAGAGAAAAAGGAAAGTATGCCGTCGTACGGAAGGTACGGCTTTTAAATGCAACTTGTTGCAATCTCGCCCAAAGCTCCGAGAGGTTCCTTCGACTAGAAACGCGCACGTGTGTCCTTCGTCTGGAAAGCATGCACGCGTGTACGTACACGTGAATCGATTCGGGCTTTCAACTTCGGTTCCCGATATTTTGCTACCGAAATGGACTTTCGACCGCGAATCGATCGAAGCGCTCCGTCGATCGCGTACGAAGCGTGAGGAAGAATCACAAGTTTCGGGAGGCGGGATATTCGTCGCGAATGTCCGAACGGCCCGGTATCTGGAGATCGACTGGAACCGAGTGGACAAACGAGACCCGAATTATTAACCGAGCTACGTCTGCTTGTTTACTCGGCGATACCGGCCATTGCGACCGCTCGACCGACCCTTTGTTTTTTTCTCGTGACACGTGCACAAGAATGACCAGGTGGATACACTCACGCACACGATTCGACTCTCGCTCTCTCGTTCACTCACCCATACTCACGCACGCATACACGCACACCCTTTGCTTGTCCCCCGTACCCTTCAATCCCCACGTTGTCCGACCGTATAACGCGAATGCGTATTGATTTGACCGAGACTATTCCCTTTCGGATCCATTCAAAGAAGGGGCGGAGCATGGTGGGTGTTCGTTCATTCGTTGACATAATTGCATCGACTCAACAAACTCTTCACACCCGATACCTTTCAGCGCGACTAACGACGCGATCGATATCGCGATCCAGTCAACGTACGTCGGTGTAAAATTGAATCCATCGTCGCGGGTACGCGGCCGATATTCGATTCGCAACGATGTCCCGCTACGATCCTTCGATTGTCCGCTGGTGATTCCTCCGTCTCTTTCGCCTCCGGTTTAATCGAATTTCGGAGTTAGCACAGAGGTTAGCGTCGATCTTCGATCGGGATTAAGAGCGGCTTACCGCAACGCCGCCGCTAGCGGC